ATATATGTATATATATGTATATATATATATACATATATACATATATGTATATATGCATATATATGTATATATATGTATATATACATATATATACATATATGTATATACATATGTATGTATATATATGTATATAATGAATACCACCGTTCTGACTTGATAAATATATGTGCCGAGTCAGAATGGTTTCATGGCCCCCTCCTCATTCTCATATGAAAACACTGAACCCCTCGCTCATGCCTGTGTGTTTGTCTGTGTAATCAGATTACTGTGACCATCTAAGAAAAACAAAGAATCAATTCCATCGGAGAGAGCGGACAAAAAGTGGCGTGAGGAAAAATGACGCCGGAGATTCCTCCCTTTAGGAGTCCAATAAAAGGTTTTGCAACTGAAAACTTCCTCTGTGTTTATGATAAATGACACATTTCTCAGAAGAGCAGAGGGGGAAGGTTGACACACTTTTTATATTTTGGTTTAGGTCGAAGTGGAAAATGGAAAAACAGAGGATTGAAGATGGAGAGGAAGAAGAAAAAGAGAGCGAGAGAAGGAAGGAAGACACAGATCTGATTTCCACCAGGGAAACTTGGCCATTGTGCAGCTGCATTTCTGAGGTTTATGGGAATCGGGGCCGGTATTCTCAGAGGTACTCTTAATTTTTTAACACTGAGTTCTCTGTTTAAACACTTCCAGCTGCCCAACAACACACACATATCCAATGATCATGTATTGGTTAAAGCCAGGAGCAGATTGTGCAACTCTCTCTCTCTCTGCTGTTGCAAAAAAAAAAAAAAAAAACTGGACGAAAACATGCGTGCCGCGCTCCCTGAAGTATTCTGCTCTTCATTTACAAAAACTAGGAATCTTTTCCCTCTCCTCCCATTCTCCTTCCTTGTTTCCTCCTCCTCCTCCCAACATCATCGCCCTCCCCTTTGTCAGCGCCCCAGAGGTGGAGAAACAGTCTGGATTCATGAGGTTCAGCTGCTCTGACTGTCTGAAAGTATGTTATAAAAACAAACAAACAAACAAACAAACAAACGACGCAGCATGACTGAGAGAACAACCGTCTGGTTTCTCCCTTTTCACCCGCGTCAACAGTTTGTTTCGTGAATGTTGTCTCGTTGAACTCCTGTGTCTGTGGTTAAGGATGAAGTCGATGTGGCGGAGATTTGATTTTCATGCCGTTCATAATGTGCTGCTTACATCAATAGTGCAGTGAAATGGGTGCCATTACTACAGAGGTAATAGAGTGGATATGGCTTGGCTAGTACTGAGCTGTCACATTACTACTGTGATTGAAGTTTTAGCACCGAGGACACACACCCACACACACACACACACACACCAACTCCCACACAGGCGTTTGTCGAGCGACTGCACTGGAACGAGGAGGAAATATCGCGGAGGATAAAAGAGGCGATAAAAACAGTAAAAGTAAACAAAAAAAAAAAACCTGCTGATTTAGAGAAACCAGGGAAATAAAGTGGATGAATTAAAGGAAGAAACCGTCTTTTACAGGTCAGGGTTAATGTGTGTGAGTAAAGTGCAGCAGCAGGAGGAGGAAGAGGAGGAGGAGGAGGATTTTTAGGGTTTAACTGAATGGAGAGAAGATCTGAAAATATGCTGACTGGCTGTTTTTTTTTTTTTTTTAACAGCACATGACCTCTCTAAGCTGATTTCATGCCAGCGTTGCTGCTCAGTGATCAGGCCAGAGCTCAGAGACTGATCTGGGATCAGGTTTGCTGGAGCTGCGAGGCGTCAACATGAACTTCAGTTTAGAGTGTTTTCAGCAGTGAATTTTTTTGACTTGGTCTCATCCTGCGTCTTTGTCTTAGGGACAGAAATCATGTTGTTTTTTTTCTGATGTTCTTTCAGTTCTGGGAAAAAACAGAGCTGGAGTTTGATCGGAACCTGTTACTGAGCCTCGATAATTAAAACCGTTTTCATTCACATTTGGTTTGAATTTTTAAACTGAAAAAAAAAAACCCATAAACAATTGATCAACAATTAAACCTGTCAAAATAAATATTTTGTTATATATTATTTATTATTATGACAGACGTGTCTTAACGTGTCCCAATTATTAAAATCAGACACTTTTTCAAAACGAGAACACCTGTCTTAGAACTTTTTGACTTGAGGAACATCAGGCGTGAATTGTTGAGCAGCTCAGTCTTTTTTTTTGGCTTTGGCAAAATGACAGCAGTATGGGTCGCATCCCACTGTGGCCCAGTCACAACACCTTGTTTCTGGGCAGTACGTCGGTTCTAAAACAAATCACAGGTTCTGAGTTTTTGAGAAACTGTCCCACACACTCGCCGCCTCGCTGCCATCACCTCATTAATCACAGACGTTGTGTAACTCTGACTGAGGTGTGTGTTAAATTTAGACAGACTGACAGCCAGTGTGTGTGTGTGTGTGTGTGTGTGTGAGGCTGCGGCGAGGAAGAGTGAGAGTGAGAGGTGCAGCAGCCGAGGGGAGGGGGGGGCGGGAGGGAGAGTGAGCGGGTACACATCTGGACGGCCCATCTGGAGCATACTGAGGTCATTAGTCACTGAACCACACACGCATCATTTCCTGTGTGTTCAGCCCTTCGCCATTGGTTCCTGCAGGCGTTCCAGCTCCGTCCGCCGTCGCCTTTGAGCCTCTTTGTATTTTGACGATTGTCTCAATAACAAGTGGTAACAGTTTACGTCACTTTTTGTTTTTGTCCTGAATCCCAATCAGACGGACAAAATCTGATGGTAGAACATGAGGGTCGGGGGTGGGGGGGGGGGGGGGCGGGAGCGGCTGGAATTTCCTGAATTTCAGAGTCAAATTAAAGCTGCGTCACAGACGTCTGATGTCGATGTCAGAGGCACAAACGTACGTTTGCTGCCAGAAATATTTATTTATGAAAAGATCTTAATCTGAAGTGTTTTCTTGAACTCTTGTTTTTTTAAAAATCCTACCGAATCTTTTGAGTACCTGCTTTGGCAGTTTTAGCTAAACTTTTAATGAACCTGCAGAAAGTGGAGAAACAAATGTGGAGAAACAGACGATTTAATTGTTAGTTTAGTTTTTAAGTGGATCGTCTGTCTTTTGCTGCTGTATCAACCAGCTCAAAGTCACTCCTGTCTTTATGATATTAATTATATTTTCAATAGGAGACAGAGTTCAAGTTCACTTCCAAGAAAAACTTTGTCTTTTTGTTACATTATTAAACTGTGGACCACATTTTTTTTTAGGGAGGATTTTTTTATCGGTACGACGTCTATGAAAAAAAAACAATGTTGTTTTGATGGAACTTTTTGCAGATTATTTTAAAACAACACAGTCAGCAGATACGTCTGTCACCGTTGATCCCTGTTGTTTTTACATCAGGACCAACTCGATGAACTCTGTGGCTCCTGTGACTTAGTTGAAATAATCTGGATTTAAATCTGGATTATGCAGAGATTCTGTGTGCAGGCCAAAATTCTCATAACACGGTCACACGTGCACTGCAGGAACATCTGCAGTCATTCTAGAAGTTTCCTCGTCCACTGTCTCATGTTTCCCACTCAGTTTCAGGCAAAAAAAAAAAAAAAATTCTCATTGGATTTGTGATGTAGATCATGGAAAAACACATCTGTTTTCAATGCACAGCCGTGGTGGTGGTACACAAGCAGAGAGCAAATAAGGACACGATGGTTCCACAGGTGATGACGCTCCGCTGTAGTTTGGTTTTTTTTTTGTTGGTTTTGTTTGTTTTTTTTTACTAGGGGTTTGTCACGTGGTTAATATTAAATTTAAGAACTGAAAACAGCAGCGAGGTTTCAGGGTGAAAACTTACACAAACAACAGGATCAAACGCAGGTCTGGTGGCAGAGTTCGTTTTTTTAAAGTTGTTCGTTCACATTCGAATTTGACATCAGTTTTACTGTCACTAACTCACGTCTGTGGTCTAGTAAAGGTTTGGTGATCTGCTTCTTTCCACTGACCGACTCCTGTGAGCCACTCGTTATGGTATTGGATGGTACATTTCCCTTCTAGTCCCTCTAGTGGTGGGTGAATTTTCTTGGCTCACGGTTGGTTTAAAGTTTGACTGGCCGGGTCGCTTCAGTATTGGTAGAATATTAAAAATAAAGTGTGCAAGAATAAACCTAAACTTTCAAATATAATTTGGTAGTTTGATGTCGTCAGTCTTTTAGTGGCATCAACAGAAATGACAGGTGATTGGTTGTGATGCATGAAACAGAAGGATTGTCGTCAGTCTTTGCAAGACCTTGTACGACTGCTCGGTGGCGGGCCGTATCTGGCCCACGGGCCGTAGTTTTCCCAGCTCTGCTCTGGTGTCACTAAGTGGTTCTTGAATTAATTCTCAGTGTTTAACACATCTTTAATCAAAACCCTTACAGCAGCAGTTGGCTCTGCTCAACGCCAAGTACCAGTGGCTCTGATCCAAGACCCTCCTCCCCCCTGTCTCCCTCTCTCTCTCTCACCCCCGGTGTTCAGCTGGAGGAGCTGCTGAACATGCTCCACCAGAGGGGGTGCTGTTTGACCAGAACATCACCATCTCTGCTCAGTTAAACCCACAACTGTGTGAGGGAGCCGTGATTCTCTTCAGCAGACGACCTTTGACCCCAAACCCCAACTGCTTCCTTTCACCACCGGTGTCTGTTGAAGGTCACGGTCGGATGAAAACAGAGCGACTGGGAAATCATGATTTCCAAACCAGGTGCTGACCCTGACGTTGACCTTATGTTGGTGGAGGAGCTGCAGTACAGAACACCAGAGTTTCCCATTGGTGGAAAACCTCAGTTCAAGGCCTGAGAGACTGATTCATGTTGGAAAAATGAAATGGAAGTGACGGATGAAGGGCAACTTATTGCCTTTTTCTGGCATATTGTTACGTGGCCTCAACACATTGGTCAACTTTACTGAGTTACAGTAACTCGACTTCATTAATGAGTACTCTGTGCAGGAACATTGACCTCAGGGTTAAAGGCTGGAATAGAGAATGAACTGAAATCACCAAACTGTGAACTACAGTAAAAAAATACACTAACAAGTGGAGTAAATCATGAAATACGAGGATGGCCAAATACTGCATATACTACAGTTTTTTTTATACTGTCAAAACAAATACGCAGAAAGTTTTTGGGTCAAGAGTTCATCTGGTGCCGAGAGAGTAGAGTGAGTTTTTTTTTTTGCTAAGAAACCACTGGACTGCTTGTCACACAAATACTACATGGCAGTATATAAAATTCAATATCAAGTACCTCTCCTTGTTGAAAGTCAAATATGTGAAGAAAACAAACTCGAGCACGAAAGCTGGAGCAGTCAGGCTGAACAAGTGACGCTGATCATGTTTGACAGATTGCTGTGTGGGCCACAGGGGAAGAACAGGAACTCTGGAACCGTCTTTTTGTTTTTCTGCAGCGCCTGCGTCTTAACAAACATCTGCTGCGTTTAGAACCTTTGCTGTTCAACTGTAACTGTGAATGTTAGGGTTCGACCTCGCCACAGGAGTTAGAGCGTAGCACGTAGCATCATGTACCGTGTCGGTGTGTTTTACTGCACCGTACTGTACTGTACTGTACTGTGCTGTACTGTACTGTGCTGTACTCACGGTGCAGGCTGACGGAGATGTTGATGATCCTCTCCTCGGTGAAGCCCTTCAGATTGGGAATCTTGGCACATTTCAGGTGCGTGGACGACGGGGTGTCTCCCACGTGGATCCAGCAGACGGTCTCCTCGGCGTAGATGAAATCCATGGCCGTGGTTTGTTTGGTGCTGGTGGACAGCAGGCTGTGGATGGTGGTGCCGCTCAGGGAGGTGGCCTGGATGTTCTGGGAGTTGGCGATCAACAGGATGGGCAGACGGTCGACCGGTACTGTGACAGAAACAGAACATGTAGATGTAGATAGACAGGTAGGTAGATACTGGTACAGTGGTGCTGCTGCTGGTACGGTGGTGCTGCTGGTACGGTGGTGCTGCTGGTACGTACCGTTCTTGGCCTTGCAGGAGCGGTTGTCAGGCTGAGGCAGGTAACCCTCCACGCAGGAACAGGAGTAGGAGCCGTCGGTGTTCGTACAGGTCTGACTGCAGGTGCCGTACACGGTGCACTCATTGAAGTCTGCTCCACAGAAACAATAGTCGTGGATTAGTTAATCAGAATGTCGTTAAAAAATACATTTCTTTGTCAGGGTCAGTGTATCGTACACCTAAACATTCAGATTCCTCCGGCTGTTGCTATGGTTGCATTTGAATTCTTCCTTCAAGGTGAAGATGAAGATGAAGATGAAGATCAATGTCCTGTTCAATATGTACTGTATAAAAATGATGACCACTACACTATAATGCTGAGGTCTTCAACGGGGTCGGTGACCTCTGTGTGGTCACTGTAGGGGTCATCAGGTCGGTGGTTGGTGAGATACTTTCCTTATACAGAGACAGGAGCTTTGATTGTATATTTCATATACGTATATATGTGTTTATATATATTTTTTTTTTATTCACATTATTTTGGTGAAGAGGGTGAACTGACATAGGGCTTCAATGATCAGCAGATGGTTTCAGCATATATATGTATATAAATATATATAAAATATATATATAAATATATATAAAATATAAATATATAAATATATTTATATGATGCTTTGTGGTTGTCTATGTCTATTAATGTGACTGTAGTGGTCACAGAAGAGCACAAACAGCACAAGCTGCTACTTGCAGCTGGCTCCCTTTTTTTTTTTTTTTTTTTTTTTTTTTTTTTTTTAAAAAACTTTTTTTTGGGGGGGGGTGTGTTCCAC